GAGGGGGATTTTAAAAATAATAATACATAGAAATCTATTGCCTGTTGGCTATATAAATAGTAGGCCTATAATATTATATTACAGGCCCTATAGGCCCTCTATATATATAAAAATTGTGTGTATTAGTGGGTCTGTATTTTGTTATTTACGTAAGTGAGGGGGTTAGTACAGTAGAGGGAAGAGGGATAAAACTAATATCTCGTATTCGGGAGATGATTCATCTGGATCTTACATTCCTGAGAGGCCAGGTATGTTAGTTCCTCCCCTAAATGAACGGTGGGCTATTGTAATGTTGTTGGGTTGTTGTTTTTTACCTTCCTTCTCTACCTCAGGATATCTATGTCAGTACAAACAGCTGCGTCATTCTTGGTTAATGCCGGCATCAACTTGTGTACTGTAGTAGTAGTCGTAGTAACAGTAGTATTGATCTAGAATCTTCAGCTGACTCGAAGAAGAGAGCAAAGAATCTTTGGCTGAATAAAAAATTAGATCTAGTAGGCCAGAGAATCTTTGCGGGTAACAAGGGGACTAGCACTTGTAAAGAATGTTTGGCAGAGTCCATCTTGTCCGATTTGGCCGAGTTGAGGGGGAGGGGCAGGGGACACAACAGAAACATTCCAATGGATTGAGCATGCGCACAAAGGTAAACACAGTGACAGACATGGCGGAGGGAACAGAAGCTATCAGCTGACGGAGATAAAGTTGTGAGAGACACTTCATGTGGTAGGCTTTAACGCTCCCTAAGTCAGTTTAGTTGTTTCTTTTGCTTTTAGCCGCAGTCTCGTTGAAATTATTTCACAAACATATTGCTGCCGCCTTCTAAGGTCTTTGTTGTCGTCCGTCTTGCCAAACACGTAACAGCCTCTAATGCTTTTCCCCTCCTTCGTGAATGAGGACGGCCAACGCCAACACCCCTCCCTCCCTCTTCTCGTTTTGCAAACTGACTTTTGCCGGGTTCTCACAATGGTAAGATAAGAGTGTGTGTCTTCCTGTTCTCCCAATGCCCAAGGTCTGTGCTCATTATCTTCTGCAACTGAACTGGCTGATCCGATGTGATCTTTCTAGTAAGATAGAGTGGTATATCTAGTCTAAATCTAGATCTAGACCTAGATCCTAGAGATCTATATCTAGATCTAGATCTAGTCTAGATCTAGAATCTGGTAGTAGATTAGACTGATTAGTCAAGTTAAGGAGGCAGAGGTGTATCTTCTACAAGAGTCTATTTATACTGATGATCTTAAAAACGCACCACTTACAAAACAGTTCAATTAATGGTGGTATTTTGGGGGTTTTTAAACAGATTATATACCATTGCTCATTGCAGACTCACAGCTGAAATTAAATGAAACGAAGTGTATACAGACCCGGTAACCGGAAACAAAGTCACGAAATATACAATACAGTACAGACCCGGTAGGGGAACTCTTTTGTGATTTCGGGAAGTTTCAGCGCTCAGACCCGGTAGAAATCTAGTGTTTGTGTGTGTGAGAGAGAGAGAAGAGAGAGAGAGAGAGAGGTGCTAGCAAAATGTAATGACATGCCCCAGTTGGCAGGAGGGAACGAGAGAAAGATAGAGTGTGAAATAGGTGGGGACAAAGGAAGACAGAGACAAACAAAGAAAAAGAGAAGGCGATCCATACAGAGAGAGAGAGAGAGAGAGAAATAGTCTAGAGAGGGTGACTGCTCGATTGAAATTATGACATTGTTCTTTTCTTCAAATTGCGACTTGCGATTCCTCCAACTCCAAAACGGAGGAAAAACGATCGTTCATCGAAAAGACATCCGCAGTCTTCATTTAGATCTAGGCTAGCAGCAAAACTAGATTAAAGATTTATGTCTGTCTGCCTAGATCTAGATCTAGACCTAGGCCACAGATCTAGAAGAACCTAGGTCTACCCTGAGCCAAGAGGGCGCAGAAACTCTCCGAAATCACAAAAGAGTTCCCCTACCGGGTCTGTATACTTTGTGACTTTGTTCCCGGTTACCGGGTCTGTATACACTCCCTAAATGAAAAGGTCAAATGGCACCGCGAGCACAAAAGCATAAAGTAACAAAAAAAGTCCTTTTTCAAAAATCAAAGCTACAAGTGTTTTTAACACTTTTGCCTTAGTATCGTGTATGTCCTTCATTGGCCTGAATACAGGATTGGCAGCGTCTTCTCATGGAATTGACAAGAGTCTGAAAGAACACTTTTTGAGTCTGTACCCACTCATTTGTCTAAAACGCCTCAGCTCTTGGTGATTGTAGGTCTTCCACAGGACAAACGGCGGCCAAGCTCGTCCCACACATATGCTCTATTGGTGCCATGTCAGGAGACAGTAATGGCCAAGGCAGGACATCAATGTTGTTTGCCTGCAGAAAAGCAGTGGTGGCTCGAGTGGTGTGCGGGCGGGCATTGTCATGTTGGAATAACTACAGCTCTGGGTGTTGACCAAATAACGGCACTACAACATGGTTCTGAAGAACCTGCTGGTACGTGTTGGCATACACAGGCTGGTCGAAGAAGTACAGTGGTGTGCGATAATCGTGGCTGTATGCTCCCCATACCATGACGCTGCCTCCTCCCCATCTATCGACCTCCAGCATGCAACAGTTGGCGTAGTGTAGCGTTCGCCAGGGCGTCTCCAAGCCTTTCTTCTCCCATCGGTATGTGAGAGGGCAAACCGGCTCTCGTCAGAAAAGACTACAGTCCTCCACTGGCGTCCTGTCAACTGCAAATGCTTCCTGGCCCACTGCAAACGTTGTCAGTGCTTCCACTCTTCCGTATTTTTACGGAAATCCGTACTTTCTGCCTGTTCCGTACTCTGTAAAAAACTGTGACAGCGTAGGACTGCCGAAATTCCATAGCAAAAGATCCGTACTCGCCTTCGTATCGTCTTGTATAAGTTACGGATACTTACGGTAATTCCCCCGGCAACAAGTTAATGTTATAGAAACCTGCCAGATTGCACATTTCTTGCAATCGGCCTTTATTCCGCTATGCCCCATGCATTCATTGCGAGTTGGTCAGCAGTACATTTTTTACCTGCAGATGGATCAAAATCTGGCAAACTTTTTGGCCAATTTCCTCCTTTATATCATTCACTCGTTCCTTCTGTCTATCTTCAGATTGTTGCCGCAGCTGGAAAATCTTCGTGTTGATCAAGTAAATTGACTAGTGATCCTAGACAGACAATTACTGTCAGAAAGAAACGTTTTTTGCAAATTTGTCTAGATCTAGAGAAATTATCAATGCGCAGATTCTACGGCACGTGAATGCGATATAAGGGCCGCGATGAAAGAAATATATATACATATATACTAAGACTACTAAAATCAAGAATAATTGGAAGTGGTGTTCCGAGGTTGTGACAGGCAACATTCAGACTTGAAAATTGAGGAACAATTAGGGTATATATGCTGGGCAATTGTATTGTGAAGGTACATATCTATTCATTACAATTATTCCCAGGTTTGCCTTCTATCAATGGTGCGACGACAAATTAATTGAATTACAGTAGCAATGAAAGGGGAACCTGCTTTTAAACATTGCCCGCAATGGAAAGATATTGTAGGTGAGGAAATCAAACAAGACAAAATGTTGGTGAAAAAATAAATATTATGGGTTGTAGGCAATCTCTTCAAACCGGCTCCCGAATGCCATTTTCAACCCTCTAAAAGCAGTAAATTTAAGACCCACTGCAGAATTTTCCTTACTTTTCCGCTTCAGCTGGTTCAAGCACTGGTTGTTGACGGTACCTCTATGTCAGGACATGACTAACGTACGGGCGTCTGGCTGCAAGTCCTGCTTTCCACAAACGACGTCGCACGGTCCATTCAGATACTGGTCCACGCTGACCAACCACTTGACAACCTGTTTCCAGTGCTGGCAGGAAACGGTCACGAAGGTGACGTTGGCGAATGTAACAGTCTTGTGCTGGTGTTGTAACTCGTGGTTGGCCGCTCCGTCGCCGATCTGCTGTAGATCCAGTAGCTGCATTTTGTTGAGACAATCGGATAACAGTCGAGTGGCTACTGTTCATGCGCCTGGCAACTTCCTGACTGCCATTTCATCTTGGAGCATTCCAATGGCCTTTTCACGTTCTTACATGGAAAATCGCTGCTTTATTTACGCAGAAAAAGTCTGTGAACTCTGGTCAACCTCAATTGATGTCACTGGATAATTTTCGTGCAAAATGTGCTCAATTCAAAATGGTGCGTTTTTAATTAACTTCAGTATAGATCTAGATTTTATTAGGTCTGGTCCCTTGGCAAATAGGATTGTAATGCAAACTTGTCAATTAGGGCATTGAGGGGATTGTTTCAGATAGATCTAGTGGATTTTCAAAGAGCCTGGTGTCATTGTTACTGCTAAGGTTTTAAAGTTAAATACAATCGATCCTGTGTAAGATGGAATTGCAAGGGAGCAAGAAAAAAATTTCATCCTAGACAGGAGAATTTAGGGGGGAGATGGATGGAGGTGTCAAAGGCCCAGCCAGTGGGGCCAAGGGGTCGCTTGTCCGGTCGGCAAGCAGACTTGGTCATTACTACACACCTCTCAAGTGCTATCCTGTCTGAAAATGACATATGTCAGTCTTACTTTCCAATTACCACCAAGTGCTTGCATTTCATAGGACCACTGTTTGACCTGTTAAAAACAGAAACGTTTGGACATCTCCTTTTTTTTCCACCCTTAGCCCCACCCTTTGGTATAACAAGCACAGTCCACCAATGCCCCCCTCATTGCCATGTAACAATGATTCGAGGAACTCTTCTCTCGGCAGGCACTGGTCAAACTAATTTCACACCTCTCTGGCTCCTGGCTACCCAGGAAAGTTTCCGTCGTGGTTCGCTACTCGAGCACTTTCACTGACACTCGATGAGATTTCATACCAACACCGATGGGAAAATATCTACCCCCAAATTTCACCCCTACTCCCTATCGTCGCCCGGTGACATGGCATTAAGTTAAGGGCCGGCAGAACGGAACTTGTGATTTTTGTTTCAAATCAGGGCTGAGCGAGTAAAGCATTTTCTGTCTTAAACAGGTAAAACCCTCTAAAGGGAGCCGATTTTTCTTTCCATTTCCTCGTTGGACAGGTTTCCGTTTATACAGGTAATTAAAGAGGAATATATCAAATGGGGAGCGGGGAGATTCCGGTAAGACAGGTTTCCATTTTACACAGGTTTCCATTAAGGCAGGTTCAACTTCTGTATAAGTTGAACAGAAGCAGACTTTTTTGCAAATGGTATGGTAATGAATTATACATTACATTGTATTCAATGGATGTAAATCTTTTGTTTTGCAGGTAAAGTCAAGAAAATGTCGGAGAGTCGAGTTCCACCTAACATTTTGTTGAATCAACCTAGTGCAGAGGAAGACCCTGAAGCTGTGCCTCCTGGGTAAGACATTGCACTTTATCAATGTGTGGGACATTATGTGGTGTAACTCAGCTGTTCTTTGGAAGAAATTAAAGTTAATATCACATCTTTAGTTGTTGGTTTTTGGGAATGAAAAAAAACTCCCCTTTATTAAATATGTATATCTGCTTTACTGTGTTTACTGTATACTGTGACATAATGTCATATTTATTATATTCATCCATATTTTTGTAAAATGTATAGATAAAGTGTTCCGTTAACTGTACGCACAATGTACTGGCATGTTTTGTAATAAGTATCATGTACAATCGATCTCCTAATGCATAATGTTCTTTGTCGGGAAATGTCTGGAAGTAAGTTTGCCTTGTATTTCCTGTCTTGCAGATTTGCTAGTAAAGCGAACATAGCGAGAAGTCACTCCGCCCCTCAGGCTGAGAACCAGTTCACGGCTTTGAGGATGGGAGTCAAGAACAAAGGCTCTCCTTCAAGCCCAAAGAAGTTCCCACAGGGGAATGGAACCCAAACAATCCCCACCCTGTCTGACGGAGTTGTGCTGGTGAATCAGGAACAAGCAGCGCTGGTCGCTGCTGATGTACTGTCCTCGCACAATCACCACCAGGGAGCCAGCGGCCCCGAGGGGGATGGCTCTGTGTCACCTATGTCACCCACACCGCTCTGTGATGCGAACCACTCCCCTTCCTCGACAAAGCGTTACTATGAGGCTTCTCCCATGTATAGTGAGGAATCTCGGCCTGACGACGTGTGGCAGCGCAGGGAGCAGTTCGTCGCATCTGGTCGCTCACAAGAAGTGAACTCTGAAGAGTTGGTCGAATACGATGCAACCACCACAGGAAACACTATGCTTAGGTCAGAGTTGCGAGAGAGGAGGGCGAAAAAACTCAGCCAGTCCTCCAGTCAGCAAGATGGTGAGCTTGTGAACGGTGCTCAGAGAAGTGATGCACAAAACTCTGTGGACAGTAAGGCAGTAACAAACGGCTCGTCAGACTCTGTCAATGGAACATCCTCTGCTGCTGGTTCTCAGAGTTCTAACAGTTCCATGTGAGTTGATATTTGATGGTTATTTTTATTTGTTATAAATGTTTTACACCCCTTTGACACTATTTTAAAACATTGCAGTCACCCAGCCAGCAGTACAAAATACCTCATCTGGTCACCTAGCTAGGAGGAGTACCTGCGACGGACTTCTCGGGCCTTGGGAACTGCATCAAGTGACTGGAACGGACCATTTTCACCGTCGCATTATTGCGGCAAGTGACCGCAAAGTGTCGATCAGTTTTTAAAAATTGGCTATTTTGACCCTGCCTGTTAAGGCCAGCTGAGGTATCCCTGCAGACAGATGGAGATTCTCATTTAACCTCTTCGCTGCTGCACCCGCAGAATTTACGGGCCTAAACCGTCTAGCGTTGTGCCTATGGCCTATAGAATTAATAGAATTTACGGGACTGTGACAGAGGTTCTTTTGATACCAATTATAAGGGAAGTTACTGCTAAAATCTTGTAATTATTATTGAGGTACCTTCCCTTTTTGTTTACCACCATCCTCCCCCCCCCCCCCCCCCAATTGGTGGATGGGATTTCCCCCGGCACAGGGTCCTATTTACCCGTAGCATTGAAGGGGTTTAAATCTTCCCCATTCTTTTTCTTTTCATTGAGTGACCAAGGAATATTTGTTATTTCAGCCCTGAAAATAATTTGTTTAGTTGGCATAAAACTTGCGGATAGTTTGTCCAGCTTGCTCAGCGTCCTCGTGAGAGGACAAGAGGTGTACACAGGCAATCTCACAGAGTTGTTTTGCATGTAAAAATTTGTATAAAGTGTCGTAAGATGTATTCTTCTGCATGTCATCCTCCAAAGTTTTATTCAGCGTAAATCAGGTCGAAGGGGGGGGGGGGGGGGGGCGAGAGAACTAGAAAACAATTCAGTGAAAAGTTCATGTTTATATGAAATTCATAAATGTGACCCAGTGTCATGAAATATGGAGGTATCCTGTAAAGGGCCATTTGCCATGATTAATTGGCTTTTACACGCAACAGTCAAGGTGGGGGGGGGGGGGGGTGTGAAGGGAAATGACCATGGCAGCTACTGTCAACCCATTAACATAAGACAGGTGATGAAGTAAGTCATGGTAAAAATATTTTTTGTTGTTTTCAAAATACCTGGATTGATAACGTTTTCAAAATACAGAGGAAGAAAATAAAGTCACTCACTAGTCATTTTGATATTCTGATTCTGAATTTGATATTGTTTTTACAATACGACATAGTCTTTAATAAGTTTGTTTTATGTATGTGCCATAAGGATGAACAAAAGAAGTGACTGACATTTCAGTCAACTATTTATATTATTCTTATTACACTTTGAGGATATGGACTGAAGGCTAGCGGAAGTCCAAAAACTATCAGTTTCTGTTGTACATGTATTACCCCCTTAAGGCCGATGCACCTGGGGCTAACCAATTTTACAAAAATCAACTAGGGAAAGGTATAGGTGGAAGATTTAAAGGTATGTGTCTTCAGTGAATTATTATTTTTCAAGGGAGAAATTAACCTTTTTATAGAATGAAATAAAAAGTATGTACTCTCACACAGTAACTTCTTTTTGGAAACTGAACTGAAACATGTATAAATGTTTATGACATAAAACTTTGTATTTCATTTTCACTTTGGGTGGTGAGCTTTGTTGAGAAGCATTGCGAAACAGAAACATGCCTGAAGTTGCATAAAATGGAATTGTTTTGCTTTAAGGGGGGGGGGCTACACCTGGAGGCTATCTCGCTTATAACTGGACCGAATTTTACCACATTTCACACATATAACAAGCATAGTAAGGAGTTTTGAAATCCGCAATCAAATTTGAGAAAAAAGTTTCATTTCCATGGATACGCCGCCATATTGGATTTTATTGACATGTCTTACGTAATGAATACCGCACTTATCGCTCATGGAAATTAATTGTTTTTTTGCATGCGTGTTCACAAACATTAGATCTAAAAATTTGTCTGTTGTTTTTTTCTTAATCGAATTAGAAAATTTTTAATGAATTTTTTCCTGAGGTAGCATTCAAGTTTGCGAAAAATCCGTGAAAATCCACACTCCAGACACCACCAACAAAAATCTATTCCATATATCAAAAATTCAACAGACAAATTTTTAGTATTACCTCTTCTCTTCATTCTGTGAAAATTTCATGAAGATTATATGAAAAATGATGGAGTTATTCAAAAAGGTATGGAGAAAAGTAGCATTTTGAGAAAACGGCCGATAAAGAAAAATAAAATACTGACTTTATGAGGAAATGGCGGTTACAAACATGCCCGGTATGGGAAAAAATACGATTTTGGGGGGTTCTTATGCCATGAAATAGTTGTAGGAGAGGCTGAGGAAGCTAAAAATGCCTACAACTCAAATTCCATGATTTTGAGCCGATTTTTGATTTTAGGGGTGTAGCCCCCCCCCTTTAATGTTTAGATCTTGTCACTTCTTTACAGAATGATCTTAAAGTGTAAGATTAAGACTGGCACCTTGAGTGTTTTGTATTAGTTTTGTAGTTCACTTGTAATCTTTTATAATCTCTTTTACCCTTCAAATCTCAATAAAAGCGCTATATCTCTAACATTTTGCACATCTGATACACACCTCAGGATGTGGCGTAGTGAATTTAATGGTTATCATTTGAGATCCCAGTGTGTGCTGGGCTCGTGTAGATCTAGGAAACCAGGGCTCAACATGCTATGTTGTTCTTTGTTTTATTTATAGGAGGTCTATTTGTCTATTTCTTTTCAGATTTCGCTATTTCTCTTTAATTATGATTGTTAGTGTTGTGTTAGTTTTCTAATTTTTTCAAGGCTTCCTCATTGCCCCTTGTGTACCGGATTTTTTTTCAGTGCTGAGTTAAGAGACGGAATTGAAGGGGACACCCGCAGGTATCGGAACCCACTTCGGCAAGCTCAGTCGGAGGTTCTTTTACCCAGTGAAATGCAGAGGAAAATGTCTCTGGCCGATGTCAAGGAGAAAGGATACGCTTGGCTGGAGGAGGAACTCACCAAGGCTCAAAGGGTAATTGTAATACAATAATTGTAATTTGGGGAGTATAGTAGTTGTCTTGATGTCCTGATTTCTGGGTAGTGGCGTTGCTGTCCTGATTCCTATGGAGTAGTATAGTTGTTTTTGGTTTCGAATGAGTGTAGTTATCCTCATTGAGGGGAGGTTCTTTTTCTCCTTGTTTCCATGTAAGAGTCACAGCAATTGTCATACATTATTTGTGACATTAGTGTTTAGTCTCTCTACTATGTGTGTTGTTTCTCTACCCGGCAGGCATTAGAACTGAAAGACGAAGAAGTGGATGAACTGAGAGGGATACGGGAAAGACTGATGAAGGAAGTCAGCGACTTTACAGCCTCCCTGTTTGAGGTAACACCCCTCCCCCCTCTCCACCTCACCTCCACCCTTGTCATTGTTCTCTTTTGCATTTAGTTTATTTGTCCCCTATTTTGACTTTTCTATGATATGAAGGAGAGCCATTCTTGTGTTACCGGCACTCTAACCTGATCGACTTTCGGGCATGCCGGAGAGACTTTTCTTTACTCTTCTGTGCATGAAAAGCTGGCAGCACACAGAAGCTGATCAGGTGCATATGTGTCCTGTAGGGTGGTGGGGG